CCTTTTGTTATAACTGAAGGTACGGTGTGCTCTTGATACTGTTTACATCCTCTTGCAGCAGATGTTTCAGCATTTTAGCATAGGGGTGTTGTTCCATGCTAGTTTTGTAACTTGTTTTAATTGTGTAAGACTTCTTTGTAATCGTGGTTGTTTTTTTTTTGGGGGGGGGGGGGGGTTTTTTTTTTTTTTTTTTGGGATGGATATGGAACAACAAAGAGATGACTCACGAACAGCCCTGCATGTAGCAGCAGCCGAAGGTAATGTCTCCTCATACGTGATTTGCTATCTGTTAATGGAATGTGGTCTATGGAACAAAGAGACTATGACTCACGAACAGCCCTGCATGTAGCAGCTGCCGAAGGTAATGTCTCCTCATACGTGATTTGCTATCTGTTAATGGAATGTGGTCAGTTTTCTTTTATAGTATCTTCACTCTCTATATATGCATAACCTGCTTTTTAAAATTCTATATATATGTGTGTATACATAGATAGATATATAAATACGTACACTCACAATCCTACTTTTCTTATAGGACATGTGGACGTTGTTAAATTTCTGCTGGAAGCATGCAAAGTGAATCCTTTCCCCAAAGACAGGTGAGTGGTTTTATTGCCAGTTTGGAGGAGAGGTGCTCTAATAGCATCTCTCTAGCCCCCATGAGGAGAGGTATCAATTAAGAGTGGAACGCGTTGAGCCAGTACACTGAGGCAGAAGGAACAGGATCCTACTGGTTCTCTGTAGGTTCTGCAGAGCAAACAGGAATAAAAAAAAGGTGAACCATCAAAGCCATTATTTAAAAGGTGGTGCTCAGCTTACAACGTATTTTCACGGTTACTGAACTTAGTGTGGTCTGTGTGCTTAATTATTATCACAGAATGTAAAGAACTAGATTTGTGGTGCTTTTGGCTCTGTATTTACAGCTGATCTTAGAAATACTGTGCTCCTTCCTGCAGGTGGAATAACACTCCTATGGATGAAGCTTTACATTTTGGACACCATGATGTTTTTAAAATTCTTCAAGAATATCAGGTCCAATACACGCCATCAGAGGATTCCAACAACGGAAAGGAGAACCGAACGGTTCACAAAAATCTAGATGGCTTACTATAATCATCTTCAGCTAGATCCTAAGAATCAAATCACTTACCTATTTAATTGTGGTATACATAAGTAATGAAGAGCGTGTGTGTTTCTATCTGATAGTGGTATATATTTTACAGAAGTCTCTGTTACTTCAGTGTTATGTTGCAGGAGTTTCTATACGCACAGGACAAATCCAATCTCTCTCAAAAGAAACAAAACCAACTAAGAATCTCCCTCCATAATGTGAGCAATATTACCTCATGCTGCATATAATTGATGTATAAAAATATTTAGCTGTTGTTGGCTTTACTGTGCACTACTTAATTTATTTTTGTGTTCTGTGTGAACTCTAGTCTGTGGTCAGGAATTTTTCTGCTGAATTTTTGTTGCTATAGCCCTCTGTTTCCAGTATGGCCAAGATGAGCCAGAGTACTGTCAGGTATGAGCATCAGTGGGGTTTTTCAAAAGCTGAGGATGCTGATGTAGATTTAGGCTGGGTGTGTTAAGTAAGGATCCGCACTTATCTTTGGGAAAAAATAATAAAAAAAAAAAAATCCACACAACCTTGTTTACATAATATAAATATCAACAGAGTATATAGGTGACAGTTGTCAATGGTCTAGGCTTGTTCTTAGAGATAGTCGTGTCAGGGAATCTGTTTTAAGGTTTGTTTGACCAAACGGCATAGGGGAATGTGACTTGTAACATCAAACGGTGTTTAGTGGGTTTTTTGTTTCTGTTTTGGAAGCGTTTCTTTCCGTTCCCTTTGTCTCGCCTCCCTCCTCTCTCCACATTCAGCTGCTACAGTACTTCCCCGTCACTGGGGAAAGCGGGTGCTTCCACTCTATGCGGCCGTGTTCCTTGCAGGTCTATTTGCACTATAGCAAGCCTTGACAAGCTGCAAAAACCCCCTTTTGGGCTCATGGGTGGTGTTCTTGGCGGTTGCACCAGGAGCCAGCGAGGGGAATGGAAGCATGTGAACGGCAAAGTACTAAACCAAATATTACATGCAAATCTGACTTAGTTTAGGCTTGTAATAAGGAACACGGATGCAGTGAAACAGCTTTAAGGAGCACAGAGCCAATCAAAGCGTGAGCAGAGCAGGAGATAAGCCAAATTTTGGGGTATGTCCTCTTCTTGCACTGCCATCTGCCAGGGAGCAGGATATTGCATCAGTGGGATTCCGCTGGTGTAGAACGGGAGTTCAGCACCAGGAGCACAAGTAGGTGATGCCTTTTGTGGTGAATGGTGGCATTTATTGTCTTGCCACTGAAGCCAGCTTGGCACGTGCCCTGTTGTGGGAAATGCAGATGCAGATATTTGTTGTTTGCAGAAATACAATATTACCACAGTTCCCTATCCCGTGTGCAATTGCTTCTGGCAATACCGTGGCATAAAACCTCAGAAGTGAGCAGTCACTTAAAGTTAAGAGTTCGATATTCACAAAGCACCACAGTTGTTGGACGTAGGCAAGAATTTTAGCACAAGAATTTTAGGCAAGAATTGTTGAGCACATGGAAAAGGAGATTGTGCTTGAGAATTGCGTGTATGATTTTTTTTTTATCCTAGCACATAAGTGTACAAGTCATTAGTAGATCTCAAAGTTCAAATTTTCTTGTTTAGGCACCAAAATCCTCCTGAAATAATGCCCAAATTCTTTCTAGAATGGCCCAAGCACTTTATAAAGATGATCTGAATGACATTATCCTCCTCTTGCAAATGGGTACACTAAGGCATAGAAAGAAGTAACTTCTCCAGAGTGACCCAGCAGGTCAGTATAGATGGGAACAAATTCTCTCGAGTTCGTGTACAGTCTCTCGTTGATAGGCCATACTGCCTCCCTGTAGGGAGGACAAATCGCATGGAAAAGTGCTTGATACTCATCACAAGCAGTGACTGTCTTCATGATGATGAAATCTTGGAAGAGTCTGAAAGTCTAAAGCCCTGAAATCACATTTCGAAGCTGGCTGGCATGGTTATCAAACACTTTTTCTCAAGAATCTTACTGTTCTTAAGCAGCTTTTTTTCCCCCCTTTTTTTCTGAAGATCAGCTGTTTTTCTGAAGGCTTTTAACCCGTTCTTTTCATGTCCTGTGTCACAGCCACCTTAGTTCTAATCAAGAACTAAATGAAATGGCCTCTGGCTCTTTACTGAGCCACGTCGGTCACCGAGTAGCACAAGGCCTCTTCTCTGCTGCACCCTGAACTAAATTCCAACATGCTTTCTCTGGCAACAGATCTGTCAACTTTAGTGTAGCGGAGTATTTTCAGATGGATTCTAGTTTAGTATCCTGTATCTCAGTGCTAATCTGACTGCTTCCGTATTTTTTTTCCTATTAAAACATATCCTTTAGCTTCTCAGAAAAATACCTGATTTAGCTTTATTTAACTGAAAATTGCATTGCTCAAACTGGCATTTTTAAAAGATAAGTATAGTATTATAGAATACACATATATACAAGAAACCAAAAGAAGGCATTTTAACTGAGTTAACGTTAAAGATCATGGCTGTCCCTAAACTTGACGCTTTCCTGAATCATACTGAGTGCTTTTAGCCGGTCTTCGCTTCAGTGCATTTTTGCTGGTTAGTTTTAGTATTTTCTCTCTGTGAGAAGATGCATTATTTTGTAATGTCCAATTCAGCGATACAGCTATTTAGACATGGCGTTATTTATAAATATAAATATATGCAGTACATTGGTTTGGCTGTTTATCATTCATCACACTGACATGTAGATTTTACCGTAAATAGCTTTTGGTTATCTTATCAAACGCTGACTTCCTTATGCTCCAAAGAGGATTCCCCCACTCCTTTGTTTTTATGTCATATATGTTTCTTCTGTATCACAACCTAAAATCGTTAAGCTAACTTAATGCTTTGTACTCCGAAATATTGTGATAGTCTTAGCATTAATTAGCCTATCTTTGTGAATAAAATGTATTGTACCAGGTTTTTTTGCTTCAGAGCTGGACTATCAGTGACTATACTTACTGGCAGGGTACTTCTGGTCATTGTAACTGACTGGGCTGATCTTGACTTTTAGATTCTGTGTTGTGGGGAATGGACGGTGATGAATGTATTTCTAGCAGTTTCCCATGAATGAATCTAAACTTGAGCTGTACTGGTTCTGAAAATGAAAGTTATTTATTTTAAGAAATAAAATCCAGATAGTGTTGCTTTTTACAGCATAATAAATGGAAATACCAAGATGATGACGACAGTGGTGGTTTTTATTGGTTATCTACGTGGCTGCTGTTGAAATAAGCCTTCAGTCCAGGAAAACCTACTCTGGTCATTTCCATTGTGCAAAGCTTAGAGGAAATGAGAATGAGTTTATCTGATCTCGCTGCCTTCTTTCGTTTCTTAAGTGGATTGGCCATGTGCCCTCAACAGCTCTAGCTTTCTCTTGCCTACTCTTCACTCCCGCTATCCTTCATCTCACCAACAGTTTCTTTCCTTTTATTATTATTCTGTCTGTGTAGTTAATGTAAAAGCCTGACAAGCGTGAGACAAGGGATCGTGTCACTTAATAGCTCCAGAGAAAAATGATGCACCAGTGGGCCAGCTTCATAGCTCACAAAGTTTAGCTATAGATCAGTTACCCTACTGATCAACTCAAATTAGAAATTCAAGTCGAGTTTATTGAAGTTTGGTTGGGGAAGAAAAAAAAATCAGTGATGTGATACAAGCAATAATAAAAAAAAATATATTCTAACAGCCACCTTCTAGGAACTCTGTAATTGCAGGACTGACCTGCAACAATGCAGTGAATTAAAAGCATCTGTATTGCCTTATGCTTCAGCGCTGTAACTGTTCAGTTGCACAAACAAGTTTAAAATGAGATATACAGTAAACTATTGGCAGACACATCATTTTTATAGTAGAAGTAGCCAGACAAGAGAAAGGACAAAAGTGTCAACTGACAGTTCCATTTATTTAAAATGGCAAAAGAATATTCCATCAGGGAAAAAAACATTGCTTTTAGAACTATTGACCATGTAAAGACAAAGCCATGAATAAGGCCATTGCTTTCAATCTCACAAGAAAACTTCACCCTGGTCGATAAAATTGAAGTATAGAATTAATGAAAGCAAACTGCTGCATATAGACCATGAGTTCAAGGTGTAGCTCAAGAAACAAATACTTGATTTTTGTATTACAATAAAGACACACAGTCAGCTAGTTATAATAAGATAAAGGCATTAAGTCACCAGTTGCGATATTCTGTAGCGCTCTTAACCTCAGTAACTCAGGGCACCAAAAATAAGTCAGTTTAGCAATGCCTTCCACTTAAATATGTGTATGTTACGTGCTCTAGGTCCTTTAAACTTTCTTCCTCTCAAGCTTTTGCAGGGGGCACATCAGTCTTCCTGGGCACAACACACTAAATTGAACCAGTCATTTTTCTAAGCAGCAGCTGATCGATCTAGCATTTCTGAATGGTAGTTAAGTAGCTCTGCAATCCCTGTGTGTCACACTGGCACTGGGAATAGATAGCAGTGGGTTGAGAAGCTGCAGTAGCAACTGTGTCACAGACGGGTTGAGGTTGGAGGGACCTCTGGAGGTCACTGTATCCAACCCCTCTGCTCAAGCAGGGCCACCTAGAGCTGGTTGCCCAGATCCTGGGCAATCCATGCCCTTAGTCCAAGAGACCACCTTCCCTCTTAACTGTAAGTTGTTAATTATCTTCAAACATGCTGAGAAACAAACCTGTTCCTCCTCTGGTGGAAGCACAACTTCATCCTTTAAGTACTAAAGATTGCATATCCTGCAGCCATTACTCAGTATAAGTTTAACTTCTAGCTGTTCAAATCAACAGTTAAATAAATACCCTGGTTCATACTGCATAAGAAAATTAAGTTCCATTCCACCTGTTATAACCTAAATGGGGCATATATTATTGTAAAAGATAACGAGTGACCAGATCCTCACCTTGGTAGATTAAGCACAGTGAGTAAAAACATACTCCAACCCCTTTTGCGCTCTTTTAAGAGTAGGTTCTCATTTTGTCTGATACTGCTGCTAGGCAGCATGATTGCAGTCTGTAGAGGCTTTAGTCTTGATTGTACACGTTGAGTTGCAAGCTCAGCATGTGCCAATGCAGCTTTAAGGTGGTGTCCTAAGAAGTGCTCTTTATGAGAAAGATTGTGCTAAACATCCTACACAAGACGACCTTGCCTTAAGAAACAAGCAAAAATGAAATGCAGGTAACATTTTTGGCTTATGTTCTCTCTGTACGCCATGCCCTTAGAAAAGATAAAACCAGGATAAACTTCAGCAGCACATGGATTCAGTGTGGCATACACCTGCAGAGTGTTTCTCTTCTCCTTTCTGTGATGCAGATGAGAATTCAAAGTTGCGAAAGTTCTTCAGAAGTAGTTATGCAGAAAGTGCAAGCTTTCTGAACAGAACCTCTGCAAAAGAACTAGCTTTCCTTTGAAGCCTTCTATGTACAGCCAACTGTTTTAAATGTTAAATTTAACTAATTCCCTTAAACAAAAAATGCATGTTTCCCCCATCACTCCTGCTGAGGACCTCTCATTCTTATCCTCCTCTCCTCCTCCACTCTGGCACGGTATCTCACTAACTGGAAATTCTTTAACAAAGAACTTCTAAACAAAAAAAGTGCATGTAAGGAGGCTACTCAGACTGCAGTTTATATTCCCATTAGTTAAAAATTGCTACTGGACCTTCAGGTTGAGAAACCAAAGAATTGAAGCGAAGCCTGTCACCAAGTCATTGACTGCAGAGCAGGATGCGTAAGCTAATCAGCTGTGTTAATGACGCAGTAAAAAGCTCAAGCTTTAAGTTGAATATGCTGAACACATCTGCAACAAGAAAAGTAAATGTCAATTAAACAAGCCAAGTAAAGCCCTAATACTCTAGTCTTTGCTAACCACAGAGTACAACCGGGTCCTCCCCAAACAGCACCAGAGTCACATCTTAGGATCAAACTACCATGGGGAAAAAAAAAAGCTATGCTTTAATTTGGGATTTTTTTCTGAAGTACACCCTGAAAGGACGACACTGCTCTGTTAACAGGCAATACCTCGCCAGCGTTGGCAGGGCAACGCTTCCAAGCTGCATACCACCTGCTCTAGCTTCCCTCCCCACCCCAGGCCCCACAGGAAGGACTACAGTGTTACTCCTTCCTCCCTTCCCTCCCCCTGCGAGATACACACTGGAAGCTTTGCTCTCCTGTTCTTCACCCGTCCCCACAAACAAGTGGAAAGAACAACTGATAGCAATCCTAGTCTAAGTCTGGATTCCCAGCTTTTCCTACGCATTTGAAGAGACGCGTTCTGAAGTGTTAGCTTGTGTTAAGTGTCTGATGTATGTTTGAAGGGAAAAAAAAAAGGAAAAAAGCAAGTTCCGGCTCAACCCTCCTGCAAAAGGCTGGTTTGTGATACGTACCACAGTATCAATCTCCGCTGGGCCCACTATCCGAGACACCTCATCAAACTCTTCAGGAGACATGGGGAGCAGATTTTCTGGAGACTGGAGCCTGGAAGGGTGGCTAATAGAAGGAGAAGAGTAGGGACAAACCTTCACTAAAGAAGTGAGGCACAGCTGCGCTACCATGTCTGGCTCCAAGTCCAGAAGGGCCACTAATGAGGTCTCTTGTTAAGAAGACCTAGTCTGTGAGAAATACACCATGCTTTGCAAAGCCAGCATGGCTTTAAATGAAAACTGGGACTACTCGGGGATCGACATTCTAATCAAACAAGTCCAACAAGTCTTTAAGAACTTGCCTTTTGAGAAATTATTTGCCAGTACAACTACCTGCAAAGTTTCTGGGGTTTTTACCTAAAAATGGTGTTTCAAACAGCACTGCATGAACGTGGTGTGATCAGATCCTCAAAGAGAAAGAGAGGAAAGATTTGACGGGGGCACCTACACCTTAAATATTGTGAAGAGACACGAACTACAGCTAAAAAATGATCTCTTCCTAGAAATCCAGCATTTCTGTGGAAACTTACACTTCAGATACAGAGATTAACTCAGTCTTGATGTAGCCGTTTCCCTTGGGACCATCCAAATCCATAGGCTCTGGTGCTTCAAGGAGGGGGGGGGAAAAAAAGAAAAGCTTGGGTTTTTTTTAGCAAGTTTACTTTGCATTGCCATCTTTATTGTACCAAAAATAAAGTCTGTGACCCAGATAATGTGCAAGTCTCGCTCTCATGCATTTTACAGCACAATGGTTAATTTATTCCATTTTTTAGTCAGATTTTCCTTTTTGCTTTTCCCCTATGGAAAATGGGGACTAAAACCTCCCCTAAAGTTTGATGTAGCTGTATCAACACATCCTGCCAGGCCGACACGGCACTGTGTAATAGTCAAACATGAGTCGTGGTTCCAGCTTTTAATGGGAACCTACACCTCTGAAATATCTCACAGGCTCACATGAAAGCTGAATTAGAGGGCCAGTGACAATTATGTTTTCAGTTTTTGATCTGACTACATCTCATGTTGTGCCTCTTTAAAAACAGACCTTTTCTTAACCTGCTAAAGCTTAGGTGCCTATTCTCACCTTTCAGCTGAGCAGCACTCAAGCATGGGTTAGGCTGCCAAGACGCTCAGTCCAACTGCTACCCTTTCTTTCTATGCCACAGAAATTATACAGTGCCCAAGTACCTCAAGAACAAACATCACGCGCTGTATGAGCTATTTATAGCACTCACCCTCCTTAGGCCTGGAGTAGTATTTGCCAAAGGCATTGTCTTTGGGTATATCTGGGTACAGAAATCTCAGTGGATTTTCAGGAATGTTTTCAGCTGCCATCACTTTGTAGTTGCGAATGATATCAGGGAAAGTAACAGCAGAAAGCTCCTTCTTGGTGTATGGCTCTACCGAATGGAACTGGGGCTCTGCAGATGAGAGAAGCAGCGACTCTTAAAGGTGGTTTCAAAGCTTTTTCTAAAAGCACCCAGAAAAGTTGCAGCCACTTCCACAAATTCAGAGGTCACGTGAGCAAAAGGCTTACCTGGATGACACCTACTGTGCTGCACATAAATATTTAATGACTCTCAAATGGGGCACAATTTTTTTGTGTGGTAGGAAGGCATATGGGGGGGGGAAGTTTATAGTGATGGCTCTTGGTATGTTTTGTATTCAAAATGACTGGGGTCACCTGTCTGTGGAAATTAACTGCAATATTTCATTAACTAATTCAAGTTGTGTTACCTTTTCAACCTTCTTCCAAATGATAGCATACAAACTCTATTGCCTATTAGGAAGTTTGAGCCTAATACACCACTTGGGGCTCTTACAAATCACAAAGAGAGACAGATAAAGCCTCCCTGCATGCTCCAAATACTATCACCCCTCTTTGCTCAGTTTTTGGATGCCTCAGGAATGAAGGCAGCAAAGGGAAAAAAGTCATTCAAGTACATTCAGCAGTTTCTCTCTCAGCTGGTGTAGGTCTTGGGCTCATCCAAGTGAAGTGTCAACAGCTGCAGCATCCTGGCAGGTGGGGTTGATTTAAGTAGTATGAGAAGGGAAGAACCCTGATTGGATACAAGGGAGATTGTATCTTTTTGCAGCTTTTAAGTCTCTAGGTTCCATTGAAAGAGTGTGAGAGAGTAGCGCAGCTAACTGAAGAACCAAGCTTTTCATCTGTCCTCCTTCTGGAAACAGGAGGAAGGAGAACTGCTAGGAAAATGAAGTAAGTGAATATGTGGTTTACCTGGGGAGAATGTGGGAAGGAAGGAACAAACAAATGTGTTGGACCATGAGTTAAAGAAAGCTGTTTGAGAAAGGAGTGTTGCGCACAAAGTGAAGTTGTGGGAGAGCACGATAGTACAGAGGGCTGAATGTGGCTGTAGCGAACTTTTTCTGAGAGAGGAATCTTTGATGGGGAAGGTGATATAGGTTTGGAGGGAGATGCAGGTATGTATTTGCTAAAGGTACCTTGCCGAGAGACCCTAAGGAGGCAGGAAAGACAGCCTAGGCAGTTTGTCCTCAACGAACTTCCAGGCCAGAAGCGGTACCTGGTAAGTGTTATTAATCCTAGCTGAAACCCTGAACAACCCACTGGCTTATGAACTACACCAAGTAAGGTATGTGTCTGCTATGGCTTGTGGCCTGTTGCTTGTGAGGGTAGGGACTGCTAGGGTGGTGTATTGGTTCTCAGTGTGAACGAGAAGAGCATAAAGACAAAGATGTTCTCTGTTACTGACTTACCATTTTGAGATCCTTCTACCCAAGTAAACGTGATTGCTCCCTCTCTGCTGCTTTCACTGAATCTTAGTAAAAATGTTCCTGGACTCTGGTCCTTCAATAAAGCACGTTCTTTCTCTTTACTGATGAAACCCATGATGCAGCTGTAACGTTGAAAAGAAAAAGCTGAGTTTACTCCTCAATGTAAAATCTAAGCTGTGCTGGGCTAGCTAGGAAAACTAAAAAGCTAAAGTACTTGTAAAAGCCTCACAGAAGGCTTTGTCCTATGAACAGCTAGGAAGTTAGCAGTAGGACTGACAGGCTGGAGCTGCCCTGTGGAAGCCATGAATCCCCACAGCTTCCCTCAGCACTCATCCTTTTGCCTGGTGGCTTATACAATCATTTTCCTGAGCTCAGAATAAAAGAGATTGTCTTTTGCTGTCAAACCTGGGCTGTGGAAGCAGAAGTAAAGTTTTACGTGTGCTATGTGGTCAGATCCCAGCTAGCAGTTTTAACTTCAAAAATATATTAAGAAATGGTTGTTTCTCTTCTTTGGCTGACGAAACAAAGTTTGCCAGCTACTAGATTGCATCATACAGATGCGGGGTTTGTTTTATTCCTTGTGCACGTTTTCTAGATGAGCTGTTAAGCTTGTGTGACTTCAAGCCCTCAAATACACTATGCTCAGCAAATGTTGTGTAGGCAAGCAGGCCAGTCTGGTAATTTTAAGAAATGGATTGGTCTGAATAAGTACTGTGGAGGGAGTTGTACAAGCCAGCACTAGGGCACAACCCTGGTCAAACTCCAACTGCTTTTTTTAAAAGGTCAGAATTTCTTTGCACTGCTGCTTATTCCTCAAAGTACTCCATCAATAATGAAGTTTTGAGTACTACTCAAAAAGTACTACTATGATTCTTCTGTGCATTAAGTTAGGGAAAGTGCTTTTTGCACAAAACCTACTAAAGAATCATGATTTTGCTTAGAAATTTCAGGTGCTGTAAGCTGTCCTGTTTTGTGGGGGTTTTGGGTGTGTGTGGTTTTTTGTTGTGTGTGTTTTTTTTTTTTTTAAATGGCTTGCTTTAGCTAACAAATCTGTTCGGTAGCAAATGTACTGAGTATAATGATAGTCTCTAGCATTCCCATCCCTCAAGTATTAAGAAAGGCAAGTGTTCCTGAAGCTGTAATACCTATTTTTTTTTTTTATTCAAGGGGAATCTCTATCCTAATGAATACTATAGACTTGTCTCTTTCCCACTCAAGTATCTTTGCAGTTTGCAAGTTTTCCCTTTGGTTTTCCTTTTTGCCTTTCTAGAAAACAAAGATCTGTGACTATCCAACAAAGCCAGCTGAGGGAGGAAAAACTAATAGTACTAAATCTCTGGCTTTGATTACATTCGGGATTTAACTTGCACCTCTTCTTTCTGTTAAATCCTAAACAGGGGACTGTTCTCATAACTGAGAGCAATGAGTAATGCTGTTCAAGACTGTATACTATCAAAGCCATACTGAAGCGGAACACTAAATGGGAGAGAACTACAACTCTGCTTCAGTAATGGTGGCAAAAGATCCTGCTGCAGTGGAGTCCACTTAGCTAAGAAATATGCAGGTTTTGGGCAGTGAAGCAAGGCTGGTACTATAAAGGGCTTTAACAGAACTCATCTGGAGCTAGGGGGTAATAATTTGAAGCCTGTTGCTGAATACAGCAAGACAGAGCAATCCTGCTATTGTAGGTCCTGCAAACTCGTGGGATTCTAGGATGCTCCACTATGAGTGCACTATTGACAGGGTGTCTTAATGTGGCTAAACCTAAAATGCAGGATTGTGATCTTGGCTGAACCTGTTTCTGGCAGCAATTACTTCTGAAATCTGCAATATCAGAATCAAAAGTTTACTAACCAGTATTAAAGGGCAAATGGAACTGGCTTTCCATCAGGCAGAGTCTTACTAATTACTGATTTTAACAGGGTATTATTAAAGACTACTGTCTGGACTCATATTGCAGATACAGAAGTTCAGTCTGGCTGCTGCCACCTAGAGGAGGCTCACAATGTTTGCTTGTGGAAAGGTTTTTTTGGGGTTTTTTTGTTTTGTGTTTTTTTTAAGATGGATTATCACTTTATGACTTATACTTTGTTGTAGTTTAGTCTTCCCCGTCAAACACAAAAAAGGCTCTGTTTTAGGGTGTGCAAAGAACCTACTTATAGCAGGAGCAAAAAAAAAAAAATTTGATGTTCAAAGCCCTGCTCTGTGACTTAAATGGGACAGCTTGGTTACCTGATGCTTTTGCTTTAAGCAATTGCCTTGTTAGAGACTTCCTCACTACTAGAATTCATTTGCCTCAGATTTTTCTGGTTGCAAGTTCCACTTTATTGGATCCAAGGTATCTGCACAAACAACTTCACAACCTGAGGATGCAACTGCTAGCGTAAAGATGTGGTCATTGCCTCAGACCTTTCATTTGTTAACTTCACTCAAGTCTTACCCATCGTTCCAGAGACACAGGAGGTGTTTCTTAATAAGCTCCAGGATTCCCTCAATCCATAGCCAAAAGGGGAAATTTTTATCATTTATATTTTCCTGAAATTCAGAATATGGAAGCAGAGGTGGGAGAGGGGAGAACAGGGATAGAAACATAAGTTTTGTTGAGTGGAGAGGAAGCAAGCTCTCAATCCTGCCAGCATCTACTTGTTCTTGGTTTTTTTTTTTTTTTCCCCTTTTTCTTGTTTCCCGCCATCCCCATATTACTTATTTTTTTTCCCCTTTCTGTTTCTCTGCTCCAGAAGGACAGAAACTATTGGGAATGAAGCATGTACTGAATCCTAAGGCAAGAGGCAGTGTGAGAGAAATGCCTGCCCGAGCCTACAGTACCCACAAACATGTGATCCATCACCTCTCATGCAACAACACTGGTCTAAGAGCAGAGAAAAGGCTCTGGTTCCTGCCTGGGCACTGTCCTTATTGGAGCTCTTGGACACCCAAACCATCCCATGGGGCTTTCAACCAGGCTGGCTAGCAGAACAGCTCGGAGACACTTTCTGTTTAGACTCAGATTTCAATTCCTTGTGATGCACTCCTATTAATGAACTTGAGTGCTTGTAGGTCACCAGAGCTTTACTCTTCCCCTGGAGTCTGTTCCTCTCTGCTGTCACCTCCTGCTTATCTATACTAGTTTAGGGTCTAACGCCAAAGAAAGTGTGAAGAGTCCTGTCTTGCCGCAGCCAGGGTTACGAAATCTCATGATGTGGCTTTCTGCTATCATGCTGACCCTCTTGGCTGCCCTGTGCTAATCCTCACCCTAATCCAGTTGCCCCTGGTCTGGGAAATGTCCTTCGCTATGACAGAGAAGAATTGCTAATCTTGCTAGGTTTTTCTGATGCTTTCTGTAATAGTTAAAATGGAGAACTATTCTATTAATAGCAATTGCATTAATAATAATGAAGATGCCATGTTTGAAAGATGCATTTTTCTATACAGTTTACATGGCTCAAAAGCATCTACTCCTTGCTATTACAAGCCCTTTTTCCTCATTCTGCTGCTACTTTAACCTCACCACCAAAACCTCCCACAACTATGTAAGCTCTAGAATAATTAGGGTACACTATTGAAAAAGGAAGCACCCTGGGGAAAAAAAACAAACCAAAACAAGACAAAGCTCCCTCTTCCACCTCAATTTTTTAAACTGAGTTCATACCTTGCAGAATCTTGTCCAAGGGATAAGGCCATCATGAGATCCTCCACTTGTTGGCCCTGAACAGAATAAATTACTTCAGTCATGTTCCATAAGTTACTTAGTAAGACTGAAAGGAAAGTACTTATAGCACCAAGTTCTGAGTGTTTATTTGCAACTCTGAGCTGTTGGACTAAGAAAAGAAATGCAAGGCTACAGTATTTTCACAGCTAGTGCAGGGAGAGCTTGCAGGCTTCCCCTCTGGAGAAGTTCACTGCATGAGAATGACCAAATGTATTTAAACAGACCTTGTGTGATGGGAAGTAACTCAGCCTCCTTCCTGGAAGCGTTTTGAAACTGGCCAGTGTTAGCTGTAGCACAGCATAGAAAGTGTCAGAATGAAGTCTTGCGTATCTCTTCTCCAGCAAAACAAGGAAACTGCAGCCCATAAGCTTTTCTGTAGGAGCTCAGCAGACCCTACATCAACTTTCTGAGATCCGCTTTCCTGTCTCAATTCAGGTGACTTGTAGGCTTTTGCCCCAGAAATTCTTGACTCCTAGGTCTGTCCCAACCACAGACTCATCTCATTCCTCTTGCAATCGTTTCCCCCCGCCTTCTTTTTATGTCAACAGTGTTTCATAACCACATCAAAACCACAAAGAAAATCTTATGCTGTGACTACAGTAGCTAGAGCTTTGCAGACCCTCTGTCATACAGAGTCAAATTCTTTCCATACCGATCATGCTATGGATTTCAATAAAGTCAGAAATATGCTTCTTTTCCCTCATCTCTCTAAAAATAAATTGGGTTAGAGAGCTTGTTTCTGATGCTGCTAGTGTTAGAGACCAAGATTCTGTCAACTTTCACATCACAAAAACAGCAGGTGAGTTGTATCCTGGCACCCTATTAGATTTTGTGTCCCCTTGCACTGAGGGATCCTGAATATAGTGTTTCAGCTACCTGGATTCTTTCAGTAGTGAAATACTTCTAGCTGTAGAGGTAAGATTTAAGTAGCATCCCTACTGTTACCAGAGCTTGACAAAGAATCTCTGAAGTTCTGAAATGCAAGTTGACCATAGAAATATGTCAGTGTTTACTTTGTCCTTGTGATGCTTAATTAGACTAATAACATTTATTCTCCTTGCATAATTCTGAAAAGTAATCTATTAAGTCAGTAAGCTTTTTGTCAGATCTTATGTCTTTGGGAAATTAGAGGAAGGGAATTAGAGACTGGAATGCTGTACTTACCACCTAGACCCACTAATGTCAAAACCCTTTAAATATAAACACTTTGTGAAACTTAGATTAGTGGAATATACTGAATCAACAGTATTTTTATCTAGAGTCTACTATGCAAACTCAGTAGCTGTGTCAAGTGCCCTGCCTATCAGGCAAACTGACAATGAGTTTGGAAAACAAAATTCATGGCTGATTAGGCTTTCACTAAGGAGTCTCATCTGGGAGATGTTCAATTTGACATCCTTTAATAATTTCATCATGTTTGCACCTTGATATTGCAACTGTGTTTATGTGGATAGAGTAAACACCCACTGTAGTTGGTGGCACGCATGAAGTTAAAATTAATGAAGATGGAGTTAAAAAAAAAAACCAAACAAACCCAAACAAAACAAAATGCCAAGAAACATCCACTTCAAAGACTGACTATACGTGTGCATTACTTCAGTAGCTCTTCAAAAGGCAGAAGTAGCCCCAGTCTGCACTGCCCTAATGCATAGAACTCAAGTTAGAACTGCAGGTTTTTTCATGACCTGACCTTCATTTGCAAACTCTACCATATTGAAAACTGGAAAACGCTTCATTGCTATAAAGTGATATTGTATGAGGGCGGGGAAAAGGTGTGAGAGGAAATGAGAACTTAAAATAGATTGTAGAAAAGATGTAGAATTAGCTTCAATTCAAACAGGCCATCTGCTTGTTCAGTAGAACCAAAAGGTTTAAAGTAATGTAAGCAGACCATACCAAGTAGCTTCTCTCCCAGCATGCTCAGTTGATCTGCATTAAGTCCTCTCTTTGTTACAGAAGAAAACTGCCAACTCAGAACTTCAGAAAGTTTAGACCACTTTGCATAAGGTGGATTCAGAAAGAAGGACAAGTTCTAAAATGGAAGGAAAAAATACAATCTACAGTTAATAAACATTAATTTTGGAATGCCACTTGAATTTACAGAAGTGTATTGCCAAAACAGAATGCAGACTTCAAGAATCGATGTCAGCTTAAGACAACTCTGGAATAGCAGGCTGCTATTCTGACAGGCACTCCTTACCAGGAAAAGCAGTCTCTGGGACTTTGTTTTGGACATGTCTTCTCCCAGTGGGTAGAATTCCTAGATTACTCAAGTGCACTGTATTTGAATTCTTGAATGTTTATTTGGCTTCTCACTGTGTACTGTATATACTGAATACAATGCATAATATCCTTATGTGGGTTTCAAACATTGGTCTGTTTAGGATAGGGAAGTAAGTCATTCTGCCTCAATCTCTAAACCTGAAAGCTGTTAAGAGTCATCTGCATGGAAAAAATGCAGCAGCTACTTGTATACAGACAATGCTTGAAAATTACAGTATTTATGATACTTTTTTTGCAAATACCTTGGGATCAGTAGACAGCATGTTGAACCATAAGATAGAAGCCCATCCACTTGGAAGCTGGCTCACATTTGAGATCACAACAATGGGAAGGGATGTGGTCTGAAAAGGACACAAAAGGAAACACGTCAGACTATCCTGTACCCCTGCTGAGCAGTCCTCCTCTAGATTACCTGCAAACATGTTTCTGTTTTAATTCCTTGCTTGCATGGTCTTAACTCTTTCACTTGAAGTTTGTATGTAGGGGAGAAAGTGTCAGTATGATGAAGTACTAGAAAGACTCAGGTGACTTTTGTCTGATAAAGACTTCCATTTAGTGTCGGTTATGATAGCACTGATAGTTACAGAGTTCATAGCATATTGCTTCTGAAATAAGTGGAAACTGATACCTAGTGAGCTTAAAACACAGGGTTGGTTATCAGATACTTTGCAAAGCACATCTACTCTATTTACTCAGAGATTTGACAGCATTCTCACCGTATGTGTATATACAGAGATGTTGTGAAGTGTTATATATTTTGAAATAACTGAAAGTGTTTCATAGCTAAGTACTTAAAAATAAAAAAAGAGAAAGTTTAGATTGTCAGCATGAGTGACATACAGGAATTGAAGTCCATCTCTGTTTCATCTAAGACATACCTCTAGGTCTACTACCAAGCCAGGCTGGCACAGCTGCGTCTCAAAACTCAGAGAGTGAAGCTCTTCTGTTACAATGAGAGGACCCTTTAAAGAAAAAAAAAGTAATAAAAAAAGAAAACCTTTCAGGGACTGAAAATTGCCTGGGGGGGAGGTAAGGTGATTTATCATGGGGAGAAACCTTTTCTGCCCAGGGTTACTTGCTCTGGACCTCAGAAACAGATTATTGGTCACAGTCAAGTGACAATGCTAATGTCCTAAAACTGCCTGTTAGAATGGGTACTCTCTAGGCACTTGGGGTTTTTTTGGCTCCTACCCCAAAGCCACAGAAAAATCTGTCCTTGCCAGAAAGTCCTGTTAAAGCTAGGTACCAATGAGGGAGAGTCCAGAGGGACACCATTCTGGCACTAGTTCTCATCTGTAGACACCTCCTACATGGATCGTTTTCTAGAAACACTGAACTCCTCTCCTATTGATCTGTCATCCTTCACGGCACTGAGCAGAGCATTGTCTTAAATGCTTGAATGCCTTTTTTAGTATTATGCAAAGGCTTTACGAACAAGGTTAGTGCTCCTTACCTCATTTGTTCTGCTTCCTGCATTTTTCTGTTCTTTCAGTTGCTGCAAATGAACAAAAAAACCCTGTCACTCACTTACCTCGGCCACAAATTAAAGTGGTAGGGGATGCAAATGTTTGCATGCTCTAGTTGCTCAACTGTGTGCAAATTTGCTACACTAGTGTCCGATCCTATTTGGTTCTAAGCTGTGGAAGCCAAAAGATTAAACCATAGGTAACTACTACTGCTTTATAAACCATTCATCTATGAAAACAGATATTGCACCCTTATCATGTAATGCCTTTATGTAAGAGGCCTTATAAGAACAGAAGCAGTGTGAAATCAGGAAGGACCAGATGAAATACTGGTTTATCAAAGTACCCCTCTGAATTGGACAATAAACTCCAGACAGTGTTCTGGACAATGAAGGGAGGAAGGGAGAATTCTATGACCACTGGTTCAGGACTTGCATCTTTCCTTTCCTGTTGTAATGATGAAACCAATCTGATTTATCTCACAATCTGCAGATGAAAAGTGTTGTATAGTCTGCTGAAGTCACTGAATTTCTTGTAGCTGCCCTCTCCTAGACAATTTTCCTCTTCTAGTTTCAAAGCTCTTTAGACTACTCCAAGCTTTCCTACCTATGGGCCTTCCTTTGAAAGGCCCAAAAGGGCATTTCTAGGCTTCTTCTTCTTTCTCCTCCAAAGAACTTATTGCAACATAAGCTGTATAGCCTTTCTGGCCCTATTTCAGTAACAAAAGCAATAGCATTTCAATTGAAATGGGCCAAATATTTCAGACAGGGAAGAACAAGGAAAAAGGAGAGATGTTCACAGTTCCTCTTATACAAAAGTAAACAATGACTTCAATAACAAAAGCAATTTGTCATCTTCCTACCACACCCTTTACTGACACAATTAAATGGATGTGTCAATAAAAGAAAAAAAAATCCCCTACCAAGTGCCTGAATTCTGCTGCTAGACTTCCATTGGTAGATTCTTCCATGTTCATTACTTTCGTGTTTGTTCCCAAAATATTAAATTTCCTGAACCTTCACAAAGAGAAAAGAATTAAGTCTCAAATTCATTGAAAGAACCCAATATTAATATACCAAACTGTAATGCCACGTACCCTTTGACCGAGTTCTTCTCACTTACATCTCTGCAAAATATTAAATTTCCTGAACCTTCACAAAGAGAAAAGAATTAAGTCTCAAATTCATTGAAAGAACCCAATATTAATATACCAAACTGTAATGCCACGTACCCTTTGACAGAGTTCTTCTCACTTACATCTCTGTCAAAAAAAAAAAAAGACAAAATAAAAATCTCTTAAAGATTCTGCCACAGACAGAAAATGTGGTTGTTTGTTTTAGTAGCTGAGAACTGGTAAAATGCTTCTGTGAAATCTTTTGTGCAAAAGAGGAGGTAATTGGTTCAAGCAGTCAAAATAAATATTGTCCTACACAGGCTATCTTTTACTGAGGCATAAATTTTGCTACGGGGGCTTTATAATCAAAGCAAGTCCTTTCTTTTACTACATAGGCTTTAACGCTCCCTCAGAAAAAAATTATATGGTACTGTCGTTCTAAATCTGCTTTTAAACCATACAACTTCTTGAATAAATTGCTGCATCACTTGAATCGGCTTTCCCACCACTCTGGATTTTCCTGAGTTGCATTATAGCTGGTGCACTTCTCAAAGCCTCAGCTCCCACATCCATGTAAGAATTTCTTTTCCTTTCCCCCCACTCCATGCAAGTTTCTGGACCCCAGTGCTGTTTCAAGTGAACAGAATGCCCCCTAAAGACTCAAATGAGAAGACAAAACTCATCTGCTTTCTTAAAAGCACAGCCCCCTTTCATGACCTTACAGCCACTGTCGTTACTTTGGAGAGCCTGTTACATTTCTTTCCTGGCCCTTAAAGCAAATGCTGAGGCCTTCTATACTTTGTGACATGTCTCTAATGGCAGAGAGAGACTTAGAGCAAGGGCATGGGTAAGAAAAAGGGAGGCTGTACCTGCTGCCGTGGAGAACCAGCCTGCTCCTGGCCAACTCAACACTTAAAATATGACTGCCTCTTGGATTTCTGAATGTGGGAACTGCTTATCATTAACATACACAGGGATGAGAAAAATGCAACGTACTTATCAAATAAAACTTTCACTTTCAAGTTGTAGTTCAATTCCTGCAATTTCACCAGCAATCTGGAAAGAGAAGGGGTTTTTTTCAATATTACTCCAGCTGCAAAAGACAGGTTCTCTTCTATTGCACTGCTTATCACAGGTATAACTAAGCTGCACAACTCAGGGCCACATATAGGCTCCAAGCTGGCTCCACACAAGATAGCATAGATGCAGTGACAGGATAAATCAGCAAGGTCTGTAGACACTGATCCCATGTCCTGATTTAGAGAGGAAACTAGATGGGCAAATGAGTTATTCTTTTGCATCACAAAGTGGTCTGCATGTGTCTGTTCTGCTGTTTGGTTGTTTTTCTTGTACACTCAATACCCCCCACTTCTGGTAAAGGATAAAAGCTAAATGCAAGTTAAACTTTGCTAGAAAACATCCCCCTGCCACATGGCACTTTCCTCTTCCTCCTGACCTCAGCACTTAGGCTATACTGTAAGATGTGCAATCCTCACAGCTGTAGGAAGCCAATGACGTGAAAGCTTACCACAAAACAAGAAGGGGAAAACATACCTCAGCTTTACAGTAAACTGCACTCCTGTCTTCAGAACTAATGGCCTCTGAGGATGTGTTGGCATGCAAGGCTGCCTCTCTACCACAAAGGAGCTACAGAAAGAACAGATTAAAGGCACTTTGATTTATCAATGTTGTCTTTAAGGAGTAAGAAATTACATAAAAAGTGAACTTTAAAACAATGGTGATTTACCAGTAGTACTGTACGCTTCAGTTTCAATCTATAAGGAGGTCTGTGTGTCAGTTTCTTTCACTTGTATCAACAGGGCTAGAAATATTGCAAGAATGAAGTGATTTCATAAGGTTTGGTTTTTCCTAAATACATGGATGGCGTGGGGAGGGAGAGTGCTACCTCAAACTTCCCTGAAATCAAACAGCATGTAAACACTGTGATGTAACTAGCATAATCCAAGTGAGGAGTATTGCTTCGTTTGCCATTCTTTGCAAGCAAGAATTTGCTTGCTAAATTCTTATGGCAACAGTGCTATGTAACAACATATGCTCAAGAGCTAGATAAGCTAGCTAGGGATTTGATGAGGGCTAGCTAACCCCATGAAGCAAACTCCTGAGGCTAACCTGTTCTGATGCACCCCAAACTGTTGTCATCTTGGGCACCTTTTGTGTAGCACTGTGCTGTGTAGACATAAATCCTGAAGTATTTCTATTGTTACCAAGTCCTAGGCAGCATGGAGACTCTTCCTTCCACTGTACTCGCAGGCAAGATAACTAAACAGCAGCTGGACTTCTACAACTCTTCCTCACTGCCTTAACTTCATTGAAAAGCAGCAGCTGTGTTTTCCAATTGAAGATTAGTGGTCAAAGCATCTGACTGGGACTCTGGAAACCTTGCGTTCTAGCCCGCCATACCGGGTATTACCTACTGTATCTAAGTCCCTGCTCCTATCTGCTAGTTTCAAGCCTTCTGCAGCATGAATTTTTGTCTACCCTATGTTTACGGAATGGGACTCTGATCTTATGTGGGGCAACTACCAGTTACAGTAACTTGCCTCATAGAGATGGTACAGAGATAGGGCTGGCCTCCCTACGCTGGAGACAAAGAGGATGTGTCCAGAGACAAAGGGTTGGAGAATCTAGTGTGTATTTATCTTGGGTATAGCTTGGTGCGGATGGTTTCTTGCCTCCATTTACATGAACTTTGTAGGGCTGAAGCTTAAAGCAAGAAATGGATTAACAGACTAGGAGGTTGATTCTGTAACCAATGCATATTGTAGCATAGCTCCTGCTAACTTAAATGATGACTGATCACAAACCCTTTCCATGGGCCTAAACCTGTGGAAACCCTAGCTAGGGTAAATCTCAAAAATGGTCATTTAGTTTAATGTTTGTGGCAAACTTAGGAAAACCTCAGAAAATGCAAAGTTAGTGTGCAGGAAATATTGAGGGAACAGAAGGGAAGGTGCTCTCCATACATTTATTCACGCAAACACAAGAATACCCTTCTTGTCTGTTACCTCTGGATGAGTTGTCTGAAAAGACTGTATGTTCGGTCCTGCAGAACTTGTTTATTTTTTGTGATGGGATCAGGGTCATAGGTAAACTTCTGTTCCAGTTCCTCTAGCTTTTTGAGCTGCTGACGAACTTGCTGTAGACTTTCAGCAACAATGGTGAACCTACAATTACATAATCTTATTACTTTTAGCATGTTTTTGTATTGTAATAATGCTGAGACACCAGCCAGGTGACTGTCCCTAAGGACTAGGCAGTGCACAGAGAACACTTCTTGCTCATTGGAAATGTGGTGAGGTAATAAAAATCAATGAAATGTAGTTATGCTGTGACAGAATGAAAGTGCATAATATAAATAATGAATATATTTCACAGATCTGGTGTTCCTTCATAACACACTTCAAGTTCCTGTCCAATGCCGTCCTTGACTAGAGACTTACCAGTTCTGTAGCTGGTCAAGACAGGCATTGGGTGGGCCACCAATGCATGCAGTCTGTTGCCTGTGTTTCCACTCCACCAGCTCCTCATTAATGAGAGCACTCTGCGTGTGCTCTGTGGTGTTCAGCAGCTGTACTATCTTGTTCACCACTTCCTATAGAGAATATTAAATTACCCTGCTTATTAAAAATACTTCATACAGGAAAACTAAGTACTGTTTTAGTGAATGCTGTCTGTCTTGCAAAACTCTGCAAGGACCTCAAAGTAATAGTTTGTCAACAGAGGATGTCTTCTAAAAAACATCAGCTTCTTTTTAGCTCGACTACTTGCTAGATTGTGTGGAGAAACAAAGCATATTCAGTATTGCTGAATTCTGAAGAGTCGGTGTCTCACATCCATGTATGTCTGAAGTGTGTATCTGGGATCACCCAGTGCTTGCTGAAGACTTGAGCACTGCAATGAGAGTGGGCACATTTAACTCTAATACAGCTGCAAATTTTTTAATCAGTTTTTTCCTCAAGAGTGTGACTATTGATATGACGCCTTTTCTCTCTCATTTTTCTTTTAGCTTTACCTGACAGTTTGATAAAGGTTGCTAGAAGAGAAATAAAATTGCTTACAGAGATTCTAGATTTTCAGTCAGGATGGGAAGAATGAAATCTTAGTTCAACTGATAGTAGTAGAAAAGTTTTCATTTATACAATTTGTTATGTCAACCCAATGAAAATGAACATGCGTTCAAAATGAAGTACTGTTGCCTTCTGAAAGAAAACTTGAGCGCTACCTTTCTCTTGAGGTCAAGTGATAAAAACATCTTCTTGAGATTCATCTGTTCTTTCTTATATTCCTCCTGTGACACACCGTTGGACTCATGCTCTGTAAAGTAAGTCCAAATTGTGAAGGTGAGGTTGAAGGAGCGCTGAAGTATGGGTGGGGGAAACACTGGGGGGAGAAGGGGACCTGCCTGGCTAATGTCAAGTGAAGTATATCTTTAAAGCTTAAGGGAGGAAATATTTACTGCTTCCTAGATTTTTTGATTCCTCCTCTCCCCCTTCTGAAAGGACAGAGTCTATACTTTAAAGCGCTAATGCAAGGAAAAGCCACTATCCCAGTAAAGTAACTGAGATGTGAGTTTGCTTGCTTTTTAGAGCAAGAACCTGATTTAAAATAATGATTATATTGTGTAAAGATACACACTGAGCAATTTGTTCTCACGCTGACTTCAGACATGAACTATTCATATTACTTAACCTGGTAACAGAAGCTAAATTTCAAGGGATGATGTTTACAGTCTCCTGAAGGTAGCCCAGGCTGACAGATCCTACACAGTAGCCCTAGCTACCACCTCTGCTGCCTACTGACCTTAAGTCAGAGGTTCCCGTCTGCCTCACGGAAGCGCTACCTGCCCCCAAGTACAAAGAGCAAGATCATGGCTCAGTGCTCCCCTTAGTATCTTCTGAACATGTCCCTCTTCTGAGGGACAGTCAACTGCCAATTTGTGCTGGAAACTGAAGCCTTTTCTAGGACGAAGTAGTCAAAAAGAGAGACAAATCTATATAATGAAAACAGTGTGGACTACAGCTGCATTTACTTCCCTCAGTACACAAGAGTCTACAAAACTTGAAGCAGGAAGGCATTTGTGAAATACAAGATGGCAAAGAGAAGCCTAAACTGAACTATTTAGGTGTATGGTTGAATGGTCACAGAGTCTATAGGGTTTGCTATTTCTAGTAGCAAAGGGATGTAAAGGACAAAGCAACGCTGTGTTAACAAAGAGGGTCTCTTACTTGCAAGAACAGACAGATGCAGAGAATGCATTTTCAGGAATTTAGGTTTTGGCGTAAAGCAGAATTAATGGAGGGACATTACCAGTAAGTTTGGCTGCATATCATTAGGTTTAGTTTCCTGACATAACACAGCAGAGTTTACCTTTACAGACTATACGCAATAGGATATGTTGTTGATAAATTACTCACCTCTATTCTGCAAGGTTTTACATTTAAAGTCATATTCATCTTGCATATCCTCTAATGTCTTGATGTCTTGCTCCACATCCTATAAAGCACAAATGAAGGTGGCCACAACTATTCAGTACTTTCATGTAATGCAAGATGACTACTGATTAGGAACTGCCTGGTACCACCCCTTTAGAGAGATGAAGTCCAGTTTTGTAGCAATGCCTTTTCCTGGAACTCCCTAACAGGAAATATCCCTAAACTTAATCTCCCTCCCTCTTCTCAGCTAACTAAAATTTGTTAATTATAAAATATGGAAAAGCCCTCTTTGTCTAGCCATGTAAGTTCACAGAGTTTAGGAGAACCTAGGCTACAGCGGAAAAACTTTGAACAGCACACAGCATTTTAAACAAACTTTCAAATTCTTAGGTATTTCTTGGAGAAAAGCTTTCTGTCATGACAGTGTTTGTTAAGACAAACATCTATATGCTAAATGAAAATCTATCTTCTAGTTAACAACAAATTGATCAGTATATGATTTCTTAAGAGTTTTTCCTCAGTTGCTAGTATTTCAGATGGGCAAAATGGTTTTGTTGCTAAAACTTAGGCACAAGAAATTTGATTTTGCTAAACCAGTCAAATACCAATCTGTATTATGGTGCTACTGATAAATAATTACTTTCTATTTTCAGACAATCACTTGTTATAAAGTTCAAAACCAAACTATTAACTTATTTTTTTTTGTCATCTTAGAAAGTCTTATGCACTGAAAGCTTTTCAACATCTGTGAATCAACAAATGCTACTTCAAATAGTTATACTATACTTACTATAACACTGTTTTTTACAGCCTTAACTTTTGCATCAAGCTCCTTCTGTTTGTCCAGCATCCCAATCACAGTGTTCTGTATGCTCCCCACTTCCATCTGAGGGAAAGCAAGCAGAACAACAACAGAAGTCAAACCAGAGTGACCCATGAAGCAAATACTTTTTCATTAATGTAAGTTATTGGCTTTTGCTGACAAACAACCTGATGAAGCACGGCTTGTTCTGATAAATCATACTAAGGGTTTATAATATAAAACCAAGTTCAGGTGAATTTGCAAGAAACAAGGGAGGATTAAAAATGCCTGTTGTGTGGTGGTGCTGCATTTTCTTCATCATACCAATATAAAGCTATAAACATATTCTGTTTTCTCTCTGCACAAATCCATTCTTTTGTTTGCTTGTCTTCATGTATCTTCTAAATGTATTTCAAGAAAACAACAACCCTGAAGGCTGGATGACATCTACATAAAGTATTAGATTCATCTGTACAGGATATGGGGAGAAACAGGCTAAGAGCAAGAACAAGACAGGTCTGTGTACAGGCAAATGGGGTAACTTGGTATGCAATTTCTTTCCTACAGGGCATTCAAGCACACTTTAGGTCTCTGTATAGTTTCTTTGAAAGCTGACCTCAATATCATTTGGGAAGTTTATTGCATGACATCACTCAGGGAGAGTTGCAGTAATTTGAAAGGATTTTTCGTTCCACACGTTAACGGTACTATTGGTATTAGAAACTTGCTGTTCCTCCAATGTGGGACAGTCAGGTATGCATTGTTGCTCTGATTAACACTTCAGCTTAAGCTAAGGTCATCTAAAGTATTTATTTTGGTAAACTGCCAAAGGTCCCCCATCATAGACTTAAGTCAGACTATTAAGGCAATCTGAGCATACTCTAACATTCAGGATTCTCCTTTGGTTTTTATGATGCTTATAATCGTGCTTGCTATGGATTTTATCTTCTCAGCTTTGGGAAATGAGAACAATTACCAGAAAGCAGAGGTAGGGCATGGTGTTGTACCTAGTGCCAACAGTAAGTATAGGAGGACTTAATTCCCTTTTTGATGACCCAAATAAATCACATTCTCGAAAGTCAGTTGTGAGTGCTTTATGTCATGTACCAGAACAGAAACTGAACAGCTGTGCTGCAGCTACAAGGGCTTTGTCAGAGTCACGTTTTTAGAGGAGCTGTTTTGGACACAGTTGCATTAGGCCCCTTGTTGAAAGCCTATGCCCGAGTGCTCTTCCCACCCTACCAACACACATTCAAAAACTTGCCCTAAAGGGAAGTATTTCAGCGTCAGAACTTAATATGTTGGTCAGTCATCACTGTATCATTATGTAGTGGATTACATCTAGCTAACTTTGCAGAGGTTCTTTTTTTTACTGCAAAACAGTTCTCCTTGCAAAGGAAAAAACAAAGATGAAAAGTCAGAGAACAGATGAGGAAGGAGAAGAATGTGGCTTTACCTATGGTTCAGAGGAAAGAAATGGGCTTCATTTAAGAAACAAAAATAGAAAGAAATACTTGGAGATAACTGGGAAGGAGAATGATGCATCGTTTTCCCAGAGAGACAGTCCAGAGAAGCACCAAGGCTCAGCTGCTTAATACAGACTAAATTCAGGGGTAAAATGCAGAAGAAAAAAGCTAAAATCTTGCTGCAGAAATAAGGCAAGTGCTAATTATTAAACTGTAATAAAATCTGATGAGCATATCGGGCGATACTACAGTAGCATTAAAAAAACAGTATAGCTTTTACATCACTCAAGGAATAAAAACTACTTCCTGGCCATTTCCCCTCCAAATGCTTCATACAGCACAAACAAGCCATGCTGTCCAGCTGGTATGTATCAGTGTTCACTCTTCCATCCTTAAGAAACATATTGTTGGGCAGAGAGAGGACAGTCTGTTTCTTCTTTCAGTCGTCTTCCACTCCCTCTGTCCCAAATAATAGGAAAGGGTAGATACAACTGCAGTACACACTTCAAGACTGTTACCTGATTTGACAACTGGGCACTGTTCAGTATTTTCCTCTCTTCTTTCAGACAGTTGTAGATGATCATTGCCATGTGTATTGGGTCTTCTTGGAAGTTATCCTGGCATTAGAGACAGTCTATTGTTAAAGTTCATACCCATAATTTCTTGTCCTTCAGTAAACTGATTACCAAAAAGATTAGTGGGTGACTGTGTGTGAGCCTCAGGGCACACATTGGCTCCAAGACCATGGGAAGTGTGACAGCTGCAGCCGTCTCCCACAATGAGTTTCTATTTTAGTTTGTTAGTGCATGAAGAGATGGAACTCAGCATAAAACAACAGGAAAGGGTCAGAGGCGTTACCGGGAGAAGTGAGATACTACCCTACAGTCCTAGAGAGAGCTCACCCTCTCTCTCGAGCCACCCTCCTGCACCTTTGAAGTATAGCTGCTGGTTTTGAGGGGTGGTTCTAGTTTGACAGGTACAGCTCTTGCTCAGTGATGTAAAGGAGATATGTTAGCTGCCACTTATGAACAGTCAAGGCTGGATACAAATTCAACCTTATTGTTTTACACGCATACAAAGTTGAAACATGCTCTGGATTGAGTACTGCCCTGTTCTGCCCAGGATGGTGCTGCCCTGGAGGGCCGCTGAGCTGTACCAGCCTTCTTGACTGATCTTTTATTGCTGATCTACAGTTACTATCAGATAAGTACAGCCTGGTCATGTTCTCTTCTCCTCAGAAAACAGTCCACTAGTCACTGACTTGTGGTGAGGAGAAGCTAGGTGTGTGGGAAATAGGCTGTGGAGAAGGTGACTCTATGGAAGATCCTCTGACGTAGAGTGCTACAGGGAGGAGGGGAGGACTAACAAAAATAATTAGGTCCACTAAGGATATGTTTTGCGCTGCCACTCACTACCAATTGCTTTGGACCTTTTCTTTGTCAGTACAAGATGATGTATAGAAGTGCTGTCTAATGACAAGTCCTTTGCTAGTTAACTGTAGTTCTGCAGTTACATGGGAAGGATTTCTTCCCCTGTGTTTCTTCTGCATCAGAAGCTTGTGGGTACACTGAGGAAACCGGCTGGGGAAGGGGGTGGGGTAAGTGAAACTACATTTGAGTAGGCGCTCCAAATACGTATAGTAAACACCTTACAAACTACAGCTTTCTTTTTCCTAGAGTTCTTGGAAACTAACTGTACTGGCAATGAAACTGTAACTTCCTAACTGTAGCAAGTTAAACCAAAAATTGAGCAACATTTGAATTCTGGCTTTTAAATTAGGATTCTCACACATTTTCTGCGAAAATCCCTCATGGCAGGGTAGTTTGCTTAGAGGCATCCAATTGCACTACTGAAGCGATTCAAGCAAATGTATAGGCATATACCCCAGGCGTACCTGAAGATTACGTTTGCTTTTCCTTATGTTGTGTTGCAGCAAAAAGTTGTTTTCTATCAAGAATCTACTAAATTGATCATCAAGCTGTGACAGCAGGTCATGGAATAACACCGTAGCAAAAGATATGTTGTTGGCTGCATGTTCCCTAGAATGATTTAAGGCATGTTTGTGTTAAATATACTTTCAACACAGCATTCAAGAAATGCATACAGGAGTACTTTATTTTTAATCCCCAACTCCAGATGTAGTATATGCAAGCAGTAAGAATTACCTTCAAATGTAAGCCAGTTTCATTCTCTCAACTTGACTTTACTTTCTTTGATACAGAAATGTTGTTTTTCTGTATTATTCTTGCCACGTTCTGTGCAACTTCATTTACTCATTCCATGCACATCAAGAAGCTAAAAGTGAACCTGATGCATGTGCATGTTGTACCACTCTTCTAAAAGAAGACACTCCACAAAAATCTTGGCAAAAGTTTGAAGTCTGCAAACAGCGAGAGACTGAGCTGCCAAGGTAGTAACCGATTGGTCTTAAAACAGCCGCTTTTGTTACAGACCAACCGAGGGAAATACAAGATAGAGAGTACAGTTGTTACCCTAGGTGTCAGGCCCCTCTAGAAAGCCCTGAAGAGGGGCAGGAACAGGCTATAGCACCCACACAGCTACTGAAGCATCCTACCAGCAAAGGTTCACCGAGCAGCTTGCTTCCCCGGTATTCTTCTGCTGCCAGTAACTGCATGTATGAGAACATTGCTTATGCTTACCAATCCTGGTTTTCCAGCCACTGTGCTAGGTACTGCCTGATCTCCATAGGAAAGCTGTCATCGTATAGCTGGTGAACTTGCTCCAAAAACTTGGAATCAAGTTGCTGTAGCTGATACCACTGAGTCATCCTGAGGAGGGGAGGGAAAAAAAAAATATCAGTGTAAATGTTTAAGTAGTATTTGGACTGAACTGGTGAAAAGTAACTCAAAGTTTCATGAACATTGACAAAATTGGAGGAGTAGGAAGGAAAAGTGTTTCCAGCAAACAAAACCACTTTATTTTCAGCTGTAACAGTTTTAGAAAGCTAATCATTAAAACTGAATACAACTACTTCTGTGCCTGTTTTAATTAAAAAAAAAAAAAAAAATTGCAAATTAAGACAGTGCACTATTTTGTGAAAAAACTCAAAGCTAAATCACCCTTCCCTGTGAAAACTTGCGTTTTTTCTTTTTTCCTTTGAACCCCTTTTCACAGCATTTAGGGTACTGGTAGTGTTACTACTCTCTTGCTTAGTAGGGATATGGAAATGAGGACCTGTGTGTTTTGATACAGGATCTTGATCCTGCAGAGTACAGGTATGTGGAGTTTCACCTCTTTTTTTGGTGCAGATGTACTCCCCATCACCAAGAGCGTGAGTAGAAAATCAAAGAAACCTCTAGGGGCTCATTTTCAGGTGCTATTTGTGTCCCCACTTGCCTGCTCTGAAAACGGATGAGATCTGAAGTCACTTTAAATGAGGAAGTATTGGAAAGATGTTTTTTCTACTATATGCTTTAGTTCCCATGATCAAATTTTCAGGCTAAATTCAGGTAATCTGTGCAGCAGACACAGGTTACTTAAAATGAATTAATATGACTGAGAGAAGCCATGCTGTACAATAACACTTCTATGACAGAGTGGCTGATATATGGTCTCTGCAGACTTGATAACGGTCTTCTCACTGGGCTGCAGGTTAGCATCTTGTAGTGGAAATGGCATGTAAAGATATGTCCAGGGAACAGTCCAGGCTGAGAACATGGGTGGTGAGATGCAAGTCCACTTGCATCTGCAACTCTTCAAAAAGGATGACAGGACCTATCCAAGGAACAGGGAAGCACTGGGGTAAAGGACTCTCTTATACATGGCTTCCTGCCAAATACCATTAGCGTTTGTATGCCAGTTACCTCAGCTGCCGAGTGGCACATGCTAGGTGTGAGAAGCGAATGAGAGTTAAAAATGCTATTATGTTTAAAGTGAGGGCTTTGAGGATTTTGATGTGCATGGAATTCAGACTATCGGTAACACAGCATTTGAGTATCGTGTAGTGGCACCGAGGCACGCAGTTAAACATGACATTGGTGAGAAAAGCTGGAAGAATTTGTCTAAATGCATTAAGTTAGTCTGGTGTGTGTTTTGTTTTTTTTTTGTTTTTTTTTTTTTCCCCCCCCTAGTGCTTAAATCAAGATGTACTCCAATCTTCCTCTGTTTTAAAGCAACCAGACTGGGAAATGACTTAAGAGCGGTGGCAGAGAGCCATCCAAAGAGCCGGTTACAGAGCAATATGATAATGCAGCAAATGCAATCTTTGGGGATGCAAGCAGGGAAACACCGAAAAAGTGGGAAGTCAGTACCTTTTTATGGAAAAGGCATTAGAAAGACCAATACTGGGATACAGGGCTCAGCCTGCCATTGACAAACCGACAAGTGAAGCGGTGTAGGATGGAAAACCCATTTTGCTGTTCTGCCTTCCCTTGGGTAAGGGCAACAGGATCGCAGTCCATAGGCACCTCTGGAGAAAAGGGGCCTGATCTGCCGCTGTGCGGGTCTGTGTGCCTCGGTAACACCCGTGCTCGAGGATGTCTTCCACGGCTAAGCTCGGACTCCTCCCTGGCTGCGCTCTAACTACGCTTAACGCCGCCGCCTCCTAACAATTCCGTTCTTCACGTCGTTCCCGACTTCCCGGGTGATCGCCGCCAAACCGCGCGACGGCAGTTCGAGAGCGAAGGGCGGGGGAACAGCCGTCCCTGCCGCCTGGCGCCTCGCACGCTTCCCCCCTGCCACCGCGGGACGGACGGCGCTCCCCCGTGCCGTGCGTGTCCCGTCCCGTCCCCAGGACGGGCGGGCAGCCCCGGCACGCTCTCGCCG